AAGTTAAGTAGATTGGCCATGGCAAATTGCCCGTATTGTCCGGGCATGTGCAGGCTTAGTGAGTTAACCATGGGAAATGCATGGTGCCAGGGATAGGGTAGGAGACTGAGTCTGGGTGGGATGCTGTTTGGAGGGTTGGTATGGAATTGATGGGTAGAATGGCCTGTTTCCCAACTGTAGGTGTCCTATGATTTATTTACATATCTGCATGAAATATTGTCTCCAGGGTGAGCTCAGTTTATCTTCCCTGTGCACAGCTTTATCCAAAGCCAGCATGCTGACAGTCAAAAGGCATTAACAGTGTCGTGTGGGATAAGATTCTTTCCAAAAAGGACCTCCTCCTCTCAGTCCAAAATGACTTGTCTTTTAATCTGAGACTGGTTCTAAACCCCACAATCAGGGGAAACACTGTCAATCCCTTTAAGAATTTTGTAAGTTTCTGTAAGAGTGCCTCTCATTCCTTAAGCACCGTAGACTACAGAGAATGTTTGTTGGAGGTCTGTCATCTTAACTCTGTAGGGGTTTGTCAGGCTAATGTCTCAGGCCCAACTATCTTCAACTGCTTCCTCAATGTCAGAAATGGGGATATTCACTGATGACACACAATGTTCATTCACAACTCCTCAGTAGTCCATATCCAAATGTATCAAGACCTGGACAATATCCAAGTTTGGTCTGATAAGTGGCAAGTAACATTTGTACCAAGCAATAACCATCTCCAAAAAGAGAGCATTTAACTTAACATTCCAAGGCATTGTTGTTGGTGAGGTGGGAGGGTTGGTGTTTCACATTGACCAGAAACTTCACTGGCCATATGGACACAGTGGCTACAACAGCAGGTCAGATGCCAAGAATCCTGCAGTGAATAACTCACCTCCTAACTCCACAAAGTTTGTGCACTAACTACAAGTCAGGAGTGTGATGAATGCAGTTCCAGTAACAATTACTTTTAACACCATCCAAGACAAAGCAGCTTACTTGATTTAGAATCATCGAATCCCTACAGTGCAGATAGAGGCCATTCAGCCCATTTAGTCTGCATTGAATTTCCGAAGAGCATCCCAGCCTATTCCCATAACCCAGCATTAATCATAGTTAACTCACCTGGCCTACACATCTTTGGACTGTGGGTGGAAACCGGAGCACCTGGAGGAAACCCACGCAGACATGGGGAGAATGTACAAACTCCACAGAGAAAGTAGCCCAAGGCTGGAATTGGACCGGATCCCTGGCACTGTGAGGCTGCAGCACTAACCTCTGAGCTACTGTGCTGCCCTTGATTAATGCTGCTTGATTGGCATTTGCATCAACAAGCCTTCACTCCCTCCACCACCGATGCTCATTAACAGCAGTGTGTACCAGTGCATGATGCACTGCAGATATTCAACAAGGTTCCTTTGATAAAACCTTGTGATCCGATGACTACAATCATCTAGAAGGGCAAGGGCAGTAGATACATGGGAACACTGTCACCTGCATGTTTCCACCCTGATTTAGAAATATATCTTTCTTTCTTTCGATATTACTGGCTCAAAACCTTGGAAGACACCACCGCCCCCACAACCAATGGCATTGTCAGTGAGCCTACTTCACTTCAATTGCAACGATTCAAGAAGACAGCTCACCGCCACCTTTTCGTGGGCAACTAGGGATGGTCAATAAATTCTGGGCTACGTAGTGACACCACATCCCATTAATGAATACAAGTAATACCTCCTCAATCTCTTTGCGGGGCCGAAGGGGCTATTCTGTTCTGTATGACTTTATGACTCTCCTCAGATCAACCCACCATCCCAGGATCACTCTGGTATACTTCCTGACTGGTAAGGACATTCTTCCCCCTCAGAACTGCACATAATCCTAGCAGAGCGGTCTCATTAGTTGCCTTTATAATTGAAGCAAGACCTTGTGTCTGTAGTCAAATCCTCTTACAATAAATGTCAGTGCACCTTTTGCCTAATATTGTTTATTCTCCAGTGTGGCACTTTAGCAAAAGTTTTCTGAAAATTCAAATAAACCACAGCCACTGGTTTCCCCAATAAATCTTGCTAGTAACATCCTTGAACAAACAATAACATGTGTATAACATAAATATCCCTTCATTAATCTATGTTGACACTGTCCAATCAGGCAATTATTGTCTAAATATCCAATACTGGTATTTATCCTATAACATGATAGTTGTGTTCTTGTGTAACCTAGCACTGTAGAAAATCACATTATAGGGAAATCGCTGTAGAAAATCGTTATATCTGTACAGCAGAAAGTTTGTGTTACCCAGACAGCGTCCGCTATTCGTCAATTGCATTGCAGCTAATTTGCATTAACGAAACAAGCGTTATAGCAGAACTACCTGTAAACACATCCTCTATGATGGATTCTAGAATTTCTATAGGTCAGATAACATCAATTGAAAGAAAAAAGATATAAAATGTGTCCAAGGTTAGTGGCAAACCAATGGTTTGGGAAAGCTACCAAAAGATGATCAAATAAAAATAAAGAGGGAGAGATAAAATATCAGGCTAAACTAGCAAGTAACATAAAAACAGGAAATAAAAGTTTTGTTAAATATAGAGAAAGGAATAGAGAAGCTAAAGTGAACATGAGTCTCTTAGAAAATGAGGCTGGGCAAATAATAATCGAGAAACTAGGGAATGGCATCAATATTCACAGTGGAGGACTCTACATTCAAAAAATACAAAATAATCAAGAGGCTAAGAGGAGGAGGATAAATAAATACGACTCGAGAAAAAGTCTGAGGGAAAATAATGGGCCTAAAGGTTGATACATTCGTGGGCCTGATGATTTCCATCTTAGTACGTTAAAGGAAAATGCTACAGAGGCAGTGAATATACAAAAGTCGTAACCTGCCAATAATCCTTAGATTCTGGTAAAGTATCAGAGAACTGGTAAACTGCTAATATAACACCTGTATTCAAAAATAAAGGGAAGGAGACAAGAAACTGATAACTCTGAGGCAGTTATCTTAATGTCTGTCATTGGAAAAATTACACTATTATAAAGTATATAATTGCAGAGCACTTAGAAATGCATAATATAATCAAGCAGAGTCAACATGGCTTTGAGAAGGTGAAATCATGAATGACAAATTTATTAGAATTATTTGGGCAGGTAACAAGGTTCCCAATTTACTCACCTTAACATTTACCTAGGAATTGTTAGAGGTAAGAAAACCCACTCTGACTCCTGGATTACTATAAAACCAGTTCCCTAATTACTGACACTGCTCCCCATATCTCTCACACTGACCTGTCCCTGAACACCTGATCCATCCACACACACACCACGCTACAATGATACCAACCAGCCTACACTCTGAACACCCAACTGCCCTGACGCCTGATCCACCTTTCATGAGTTACTCTCCATCTGTACCCCCAACCCTTGCTTACCCACCTGCCATCCTACTCTCTTTCCTGCTTGTTATACACTTACTTCTTGGGAGATCTCAAAGTAATTGAGAAAGTAGTTCGTATATGGCAGCAATTGCAAAAAAAGGAAGGGTTCTGGTTTCTGTGACAATCCACTCAGACACTGCTGCAAAGTTTGCAGACTGTGTCTGTCGTGATGGATCCTGCATCGAAGTCCATCTGTAAAAATCCTGGGAAGGTAAGTGGGCAACCTTTAGTCTGATCTTGGTCAGAAGTAGGAATTCCGCCTTTCCAAGGTCAGAAGATTCAGGCTACAGAAAGTAATGCCATACGGTCATAGAGTTATACAGCACGGAAACAGACCCTTCGGTCCAACTCGTCCATGCTGACCAGATATCCTAAATTAATCTAGTCCCATTTGCCAGTATTTTGCTCATATCCATCTAAACCCTTCCTATTCATGTATCCATCTAGATGCCTTTTAAATGATACAATTGTACCAGCCTCCACCACTTCCTCTGACAACTCATTTCATACATGCAGACCCTCTGCGTGAAAAAGTTGCCCCTTAGGTCACTTTTAAATCTTTCACCTCTCACCCTAAACCAATGCCCTCTAGTTTTGGACTCCTCCACTCTGGGGAAAAGACCTTGTCTATCCATCCTATCTGGTCTCTATAAGGTCGCCCCTCAGCCTCTGATGCTCCAGGGAAAATAGCCCCAGTCTTTTCAGCCTCTCCCTATAGCTCAAAACTTCCAACCCTGGCAACATCCTTGTAAATCTTTTCTGAACCCTTCTCTGAGATAAAAAGTATGCATCACTTTCTGATATCACTCGTAGATGGACCAGCTGTAATTTGAAGAGTGCACTTTGTTTGGATTTCTCCAAGAGAGGAAATAGTTTGTCTGCATCTAAAAAAAAGATTCGATCGTTCTATCATTTTAACCTCTTCAATAAGGTCACCACTCAATCTTCCGTACTTCCATCTTAAGCTTTGTTTGTTCAACCTCTCCTCATTGTTTAATGCTTCACCCCCTGTGAATCTGTGTTGCAGCTTGCCCATGTTAATGTAATTGCCTCTGACACATGGTGCCCCGAACGGAACGTAGTTATACACTGCTGGGGGGCAATAAGACACAATAAAGACTTCCCTTGATTTTGGCTGGGCAGAGCCAAACTGTAATCAGAGAGAAGAGTGCTTCCTTTAGGTAACATGCAGTTAAGCTGTGGACATGGCCCAGTCGGAAGAGAAAGCTGTGAAGACAATTTCATTGCATTGGTCTGCAGTGGGTTAAAATCTCAGTGAAGCAAGGTGTTCTCACCCACGGCACTGCCTGTCATTGCTTGACCAACAATATTAGTTGTTAAATTCTCCACGCTCTTTTTTTAAAACTGTTTTTAAACATGAAGTGAGCTCACAAAACCGAAAGCTGAGCGTTTGATTGGGCAGCTGCATAAGTATTTGTTTTGGTTGACACCCACACACAACTGAAGCACTATCTACCCATAAAAAAAACAAAGCCAGGTCATCCTGATCATCAAAGACATATTCAAGGCCTGAGATAATAATTAACCACTGTAACCAATAGCTAACTTATGGGTAGACAGGCTTCTGCTGGAGTGTCGCAGCAGTTTTGACTGGAATCTTGCGCAGGAAACTTCTCAAGGGATGAGATTCTGGTTGATTGCACTTATGTGTGTTGGGGCAGTTGCCATGGGGAACGGAGCCCCAGTTGTACGGACACCAACATCTAAGGATGCTTTGTATGCTGCTATCTACAAGTACAATGCAGGGTCCAGCCAGATGAACCTCTTTAAGCTGTTGGGACCCACCTGCATTGCAATCAAGGTAATAAAGGTGTAACAGAAGTGCTAGAATTAGGATAGAGGCTTGAAAGTGAGCCTATGTGCAGCTTGCTTTTATGGCTGCTGATTTGGCCGCAGGAGCTGCGTGGGTCAGCTTGGCAGAAGGAACCTAACCAGGGGTGAGAGGGGCAAGAAAAACGTCATAATTGGCTCAATTCACCTGGCATTAACAGAGGAGCAATAGGGTCAGTAACATTATGGACCCGTTATCATCAGTGACAAGAGATCCATTTTCAAAAAGCGACTGGTGGGTGTCCAAAACCAACACCTGTTAAGTAACTGGCTTTCTTTCGCATCAAAGTCCTATGGTATAAATAGACCCTTTAATCGCCATTTTAAGTTGGAACTTGGTCAGAGACTGTGTCGTGCACAGCCCAACTATGTTCCTGCCCTCCAAATGTTCTAATCTGTGTGCTGCATCCAGATTTTCATTGTGCAGGCTATTTTATCTTGAAAGCATCAAAGATTAGACTAGACTCGAGAAGTTAGCTTGCTTTCTCTCTTGTGGATGCTGTTGACTCGCTGTGATCTCCAGCATTTTTTGTTTTCAGTACAAATCCTGCACATGCTGTTATTGTCACTAAAATTCTTTGTTGCTGGGTTGGTGGTCAGCTGATTTTAATTCCATCTTCCTAATGACAGCATTTTTAAAATCTCCTCTCACACACTCCAATACTCCTCCCCTAGAAGGGTAAGTGTGGCTCAGTCAGAGCTGGCTGTTTATTGGACCTGAGCCCTGTCAGTGTGAATTACTGACTGGATTTCATAGGGTGCTATATTCCCCTTGTTTCTAGTGATGTGTTTAACTGCTGCCACAAATGAAAGTGAAAACAAATTGCGATAGTTCTATGTGGTCACATGACCACAGCAAGTCACTCTGTACTCAATGTACAAATGCGTTTCTCCAAACATTCCTCCTTTACTTAAATGAAAACAAAAAGAGACTGCATGCATTAATATTTGCAGTTTCAAGTTATCGCAAAAGTACAGACAATAACAAAAGTAATCATTCTTGAAAAAAGTGTTAGTTCTAGCCTATCCCACATTCATCAGTCTCTTCACATGCACTGGATACATAAGCTAAAAATTATGCAACTCTTCTAATAATACCTGTGTGGTGATGTTGGTTGTTCATTGGTATCTGTTTGTTTCCAAGGTCCTGTTCCTCCTATAAGTAGTGAGTGCTGTTGCCATGGTAACTGTTGTTGCATATTTATTTCTGTTGTTAGACGGTGGTGGACATTTAGGACTGAATGTTTTTCTATACTTTGTGCAGGTGGTGACATCATACCTTTCTAACCAACTGCCTGAAATGGAGGATCAGTTTCTCTAGTTGTAGGTTAATGTCTGCATTTGTGATAATGAATCTGGTCATTCCCATTCACCGTGTCTGGACAAGGTGATAACTGCTTTGCACAGGACTCAAGTTGCCATATGGGAGCTGACTCTTATTGAGGACATTGAACTTTTGCACTCTGATTGGCTCTCCAATGCTCAACTCTGGCAAAGATTCAGCAGTTTCAACAAAGTGAAATTTAGCCCTGTTGTTTTCAACTTGATTTTGTCCATTATACAGTTCCTACTTCCACCTTCAGTAGCTTTTCACCACTGGAAACTACGTTCTAGTTTTCTTTCAAGCATTCTACAATCTCACTGGCAGTTGATGACATTTGACGTGACAGGGTAATCAGTTCCTCCAAGATTGAAAAGACCTAATCCAAGTTTCATTCATAATCTGTCTGGGATGTAATGTGTCATGTGCAGCTTTTTAGTTTGTTTTCTTAGATAGTTACTACAAGCTCTGCACTGGCTGGTGTGTCCTTGATCTCATTGCTCATGTTGGGCACATTTTTATAGCACATCTTGCCTTGCCTAGACTGGACTCAGTTCTTTGACACAGCTTTAATGTTTTCCTTGGAGAGAAGGTGGCTGAGAAAAGATTTGATAGAGGTTTTCAAAATCATGGTTAGGGACAATAGATAGGGAAAAACTGTTCCTGCTCAAAAAAGAACATACGTTTAAAGTGATGTGCAAAAGAAGTAAGGGTGATGTGAGAAAAGCACTTTTTCATCAGCGAGTGGTTAGGGCATGGAGTGTACAGCCTAGAAATGTGGTGGAGACAGGTTCAAGTTGAGGTATTTAAGAGCACATTTGATGATTATTTGGACAGTAATGGTGTGCAGGGATATGTGGAAAAACCGGAAATTGGCACTTGGTAACAGAACAATTACACTCATGATAGGTTGAATGGCCTCCTTCTTTGCCATAACAATTCTGTGATTCTGTAAGAAAAAAAATCTGGTAGTTTCTGGTGTGATTTGAAGAGTGAAGTCATCATTCTATTAATTTGTATCAGAATATCAACAGGGAAGTCGAACATGTACCTGAACTCCACATATCCACCTGCACATCCATTGATACGCTTACTACTATCTAGAGTAGTTGGCAAGATACCTGGTTCAGAGTTAAGTGTTGTTAAGAGACTGTTATCTCCAACTGAACAATCTTCCATCTTTGATTTATGTGCTTTCTATCCGACAAATTCCACCCACCCTGTCTTATTTATACCCTGCAGGAAGCCGCTAATGTGACATCATTCTAAGCTTGTTTCAGGATCCTAAAACCTTTACAAGACAGAATTTACAGAGACTCTACTTAAAACTTGTCAATCTTTGATCAGTGCCAGAAGACTTAAGGATTACAAGAATTACGCACATTCAAACGAAGGAGAAAGGAATAAACCCAGAAAATGCAGACCTATTTCTAATTTTGATGTGGGTGAAACTTTTCAAAAAAATTATTTCAAGAGAGGAGGAATTTTCACACGGAGAGAAATGAATCTGTGGAATTCTTTACTGTAAAAGGCTATAGAGGCTGGATCATTAAATCCGTTCAAGGCCGAGATGGAGATATTTTTAATCAGTAAAGCAATCAAAGCTTATGGGGAAAAGTTAAGAAAGTGCAGTTGAGGATTATCAGATCAGCCATATTGAATGGTGGAGCAGAGTTGATAGACTGAACGTAGATACAAAAGGTGACTCTTCAGCCATATAGGAGTTTACCATCATCATAATTGAATAGACCATGGAGCTCTCACCAACGAAGGCCATGACATGCCTTTATGTGGACCTTGAGCATTTTAAACTTTATTCAGATGTAGACAGCACAAGCCATGCTGTACAAATACTGGAGGAGTTTGAGTGCAGTAAGATTACTGAAACCTTGTACCTCTGTCAACCCCCACCCCCCAATTCACCCAAGAAACACAGTCTTGCATATTACAGCATGTTCTGACGTAGAGTTCAAAGTGATAGGGCAGCAGCTCCACACCCCTGTGCAGTGTGAGACCTGTGAAATGTGTTCAGAAATTGTGGACTGCAGATGAAATTTTAAAGGTCATGCGTGATCTTTTCTGCTTCCCAGAAATTACGATGATTAATTTGTAATGATTAATGACATGGTCAGGATTGCTTGTGGCCAGGATTTCTAAACTATGGACATGGCCAAAACATGAGGTGCACATACAGAATTTTGTGGTGGTAGACATACCCAATCTCAAATCTGAGAGAGTGATTAATGCAATTGCCCCTGGAAGGGGAACAATGCTTATAAGTGGAGACTGTTCCCTCAGACAATATACAACAAACTCTGCGTGCATGTGCAGGCAGTATTTTTCATGTTCATTGCGTGGTTGAAATTTGGTGCAAGATGGAATGCTTTCCAGATTTTACTCGAGAGAGTGAATTGCAGGCTTCGTCCATTATTCCAGATGCCTCTCTGCTCCACCAACCTTCGTGTTCCTTTCTGCATTGAAGTCCCTGTCAACCCTATCAGTGTTTATTCTCCCCCCACACTCACTCGACCTGTTTATTTAACTAAAAACCAAAAGAACTGAGGATGCTGTAAATCAGGAACAAAAACAGAAGTTGTTGGAAAAGCTCAGCAGGTCTGGCGGCATCTGTGAAGAAAAATCAGAGTTAACATTTCGGGTCCGTCGACCTCTCCTCAGATGCTGCCAGACCTGCTGAGCTTTTCCAGCAACTTCTGTTTTGTTTCTGTTTATTTAACTATTCATCTCTGCATTTTACCCTTTGAACTGCAGGTTTAATGCCCACCATAGTGATCCACTACCCCCCTTTGAAGCAAGCATGGTGGTGACTCTAGATGATCCTCCCTCCTGCAGTACCACATGACCTCCCATGCTATGTCAGTCCCCAACCCTGTATCTAGAAATGTCACTTTCACAGTTAATGTCCACTCTGCTTTGTAGCATCAGATTCAATTTTCCCAAAACAGCATTGGTCCCTGATATCACCCTTTGACATACAGGACACCAACATGCAGGACTGGCTGTAGCCTACCACTGACTGCCCTGAGTGAGGAAGGACCAGCCTCCTGGCTGATTTCTGTTCAGTTCCCTGACCGACTCACTGCTAACCCCTGGACTGGAAGGACTCTACTTGGAAGGCTGCCCAAGTAGAGTCTCTGGACCTTGACGCGGATCAGATGTCGTTGACTGATTGCGGCAGAATTACTGAGTGGCCAAAGTGTTCCCTGACTGGACTAAGGACCACTCTCCCCAGGCTTTCAGACATAGCTGTCTAGTTTTGAGCCACTTCTTCAACCTGATGTGGAATCTCACAGCAGGATCAGAGCGATGCATTCATTGAGCACAAAGGTCACATTGGGATACAAATTTTATGTGTCTGGATGTTTCCACATGGGGTCAGGGGACAATTCCAATATTTCCAAGTACGTTAATGACTACATCATTGATGATCCCATCTATGTCATGTTCATTAAGTACATGGTTTCTCCCTCTGTAGGCAGAAACAACATCATGGATGTTAATAACAAGAAGTTTCAGAAATGCTCAAGATTATCATTTCAATAAGCACATGACACCATGCCAGAGAATGATTTCTATCCTGGTAGAAACCATCATTCTGAGGCAGTCGTCCATTCCTCAGGCCTCCAGGGTGA